TCCCCTTTGTGTTTTATTACCAAAATTGTTATCAAAGATCTTATCTTTATGCATCTTTTGTGGTCATTGTAGATTGGTTCTGTTTTCGAGTACTCGAGTAAGAATCCAGTTTTTGGTGTATTGGACTCAGATAGTATCTTCTATACTCCTGTTCTTGGGTTCTTTGCTTTTACCGGAATCCCCACCTCCGTGAGTTGTTCCTTCTCTCTTCTTTTTTATGTCCAATTCTATATTTGTGTTGTTTCATTAGCTGAAACAAGTTGATTTTTGTCTGCAGGTATTCCTATGGTTCAAATCTGTTCAAGCTGCTAACAAGGAAGCTGAGGAACAAGATAAAAGAGATGGATATCGTTAAAACTCCTTTTTTGTTGTGTTTGTTTCTGCAACTCTTAGCAGTGATTGTTGTTGTCTTCCACATACTTTTGAATACAAGTCTGCATTTTTAAAGGAGATTGCTTCTGTTCATTATTTTACTACCTACTAGATTTCTTGTAGCTTTAACAATATGTCATCTTCCAGAGAGTACACGCTTGAGCAAAGGCTGATTCTGGAAATGATCCAACTTGTTATGGAAAGGCGTACATTGTTTTGTCAAGACATATTGTTTTCACTTTTGGTATGAGATTGGAGTCAGAACATCAGTTGAAGAACTGTGGTTGAGCAAAGGCTGATTCTGGAAATGATCACACACACAAAAATCACTGAGTTTAATTGGTTTGTATGTGAATGTGATGTTTCTAGGCTCAATTTAGCAAAGAGAGGAAGTGGTTTGTAAAAATTGTTAGACCAAATGTCATTTGGACTTGGAGAGTCAACTGTTGATTTGCTTTTGCAGGAGATGGCTCGTACAGTGAATGTTGTATGGAACAGGACAAACTCTTGCTTTCTGTCGGACTGTCATGGCCTTTTCTTATTACACAAATCAACTTGTAAGACATAGCCCAACAGAAGTCTGATGTATTTTTGAGTTTTGCTTTAACGAAAAAAGGCTTGAACTTTGAAAACGCTAATTTTTTTTCTCTGGGCTCTTTAAAAGATGGGTTGTTTTAAGAAGATGGGTTAGTTAAAAAGATTGGTTGTTTCGGCTCACCAAATAGCGAGAGAGGAAGATGTAGATAGATCTCGAAGCAAGTAGAGGTAACTATCTACGATTCACCTTCGTCTTTCGTCTCTGTGAAGCGGACAAACCAAAGAATCAGGTTGAGCTAGGCGAAATGGGTGGATTCAGAGAGTTTAAAGCTGAAGAACATTTTCCCTCAAACCAATTCCATTCCATCGTCGCCATAACAATCTGGCTTGGCTCCATTCACTTCATCGTCGCTATTG